TTGGGGTAATGTTTTATTTAAATGGTTATTTAGGTAGTCAACTATAGTGTTAATTTTGGCAGCTGTTTTTGATTTAGTCTTAGTCTTTAGACGAAAATGGTTATTAGTTTTAGTCACATTTTAGTCATTCCTATCCTTCGTAGTTTTAGTCTAGTTTTAGTCGACGAAAACTCAAAACGTTTTAGTCAACTTTTAGTAGATGAAAATTACATTTTAGTCAAAATGTGTCTCTATACTCTCTGAACGCTCCGTCCCCGGCAGATCTCTGTGTCCGCTGCAGCATGTCTGTTAGGCCCCGCCCCCCGCACACAGAGAGACACAGGGAGATCGCTCTTCTGGAGTGAAGAGAGCGGAAATAATGATATTGCAAGTTAGAAACGTAAGATTCATTTTGACAGACAAGACGGACAATTGGGGGAAAATACCCTGCATTTTGAATGTCCGTTAGTCCACCATTAACACCTTAGTCCCGTCTCGTCTCGTCAACGAAAACTAAATATACATTTCGCCAAAGTTTTCGTTATCAAGAATCTATTTTTAGCTCGTCATCGTCTCGTCTTAGTCATGTAAAAAAGGTCGTTGACGAACATTTTTCGTCATAGTTTTCGTTGACGAAATTAACACTGATCAGGATCCATCTAGAGCTGCGTGGGACGCATAGTTCCCAGAGTAGAGTCCTTCACATGCTGATATACAAGAGACGGAGTTACAGTCACAAGATGGAGGCACACCGGATCAAAGCAGTATTCTGACATTAGTTCAGATCAGCTCAGGCCTGCGTGAGCAAAGAACATGACAGTCTGTCTCTCTAGATTCTGTGTCATCTGCCAATCTGAGGAACAGAGCTCTCATAACTTCAACACAGTGTCTCATGAGCGTCATCCATGTAGTCAGACATCCGGCTACGCACACAGCTACGTAGGGCCTCTCTCATCACGTGCTGCTCTGACACAGGAGGAACATTCAGTATTTTCCCAACAGCGATTACGGCCAAACATTTGCTGTAAATCTTAAAGGAAACGATTTGATTATAAGCAAGTCCTGTGATATTATGAGTGATCAGCTTTATGCACTCACATACAGTTAGCATGGTTTAAGAAACGGGCCAATTCAACCCCTGATGATGGAGGTTCGAGCCTCTGGAGCAACGCTGAGTGACCGTTTGAATGAGGGTCCCAGCAGGTAAATGTTACGGTTGTCATCAATGTGTAAATATGAGACCATGCAAGTGTTTATACTACTTAAAATGTGGATACAAATGTTAATGTGGGGTTTCTTGAATGTGATTGGTCCGTTTGATCAGGCTCTCCAGGTGACAGTTGAATATAAGGGGGGAGAATATTCTGAACGCAGCGTTTTCACAGCTCGTTAAACTCAGTGATGCTGAATCTGCAGAGAGGCTGATGATGCATTATCTGCAGGGTCCTCTAATATAGATGAATCTGTTCCTCTTACACTGCCTCTATAAGGAGAGGAGCATACACACACACACACACACACACACACTCATCCATCACCAGGTATTTTACATCCACACACTGCAGTCCCCCCATAATGACGTGTGTAAGTAGAGGTGACATAATACGAGTCGTTTGTCAGAGATAACGATTCCTCTCGTCACTGTCACTGAAATGGACGACACACCTTTGACACCAATATAACAACTACAGACACACGTGTGTGTGTGTGTGTGTGTGTGTGTGTGTGTGTGTGTGTGTGNGCCTCTGCATTGGATTATTATCAGATAGGGTAATAACTTAATAAGTCTCTTCAGTGAGAATGTCACAAAATGATTTAAAAAGAAAAGCAAAATTCTAGATTCTAGAATTTTGCTTTTCTTTTTAAATCATTTTGTGACATTCTCACTGAAGAGACTTATTAAGTTATTACCCTATCTGATAATAATCCAATGCAGAGGCAATAATGTAATATAATACATTATTTTATATATATTAAATATTTATATACTGTATGTATTTTTTGTATGTATATAAAACTGGCCCTTTGAGTGCAACCATGATGCTAATGTGGCCCGAGATGAAATTGAGTTTGACACCCCTGCTTTATGGTGAGGCTCACAGCTGCACTGCTCTGTTTGAAGAGGAAAACTATTTATATTTCCATCCTTTGTGTTATGACTGTCTTCACTTCTTCTCTCCTGATTTTCACACCTCTTCCTCACCTCTCCCTGACAGCACAGCTGCCCTTATCTGATAGCCAATCAAGAGTCCTATTGCAGAGCAGAAACAAAATGCTCTTTTTTGTCAGTAGATTAATTGACTATTTGACCGTGGATGTCTGATTGTAGGGAGGGAGGATATACTCTGCCCTTATTTATCTGTTCCATACCGCCACATTATTACTCCCTAGTGTTTGACCAATAGCGTTCTGCTCTGTCTGTCTTTCCCTGTCTCTTCTCCTCAGATTCATACTCGGCAGCAGGCAGTGAGGGCAGCATCTCCACCTCTGTGGCGTCCCTGCCCCCCCAGGCATCGGGCAGCTCGGCCCCCAGCTCCCCAGGCTCCAGACGCTCTGTCAGCACGCTGAAGAAGTGGCTCACAAACCCTGTTCGCAAACTGAGCGTTGGGGCCACGGCCAAAGGGGAGCGCCAGGTCCGCAAACTTGAGGGAAAACCTCCACCTCCTCCGTCTCAAAGCCACAGCCTGGATCTGGGCAGCCCCCCGAGGCATGATGACACTTTCACCATCCTTCCCATTACCCACAGAGAACTGGTGAGAATACAAAGTTGTAAAGAGGCTGCAATCGTTCTTTGTTTACTAATCGAACAAGGCCTTGCATGCCGGCTTTGAACTTCAAGTTCCTCTTTACACATTAGATAAACCACCTCACAAGTAAACTCATAAACTGAAATGATCCCACACTGCCTCAGATAAACTGGCTCTGAAGTAAACAAGCTAAATTTCAGCCTTGTATAAATACAAGGTAAAGCCAACACCCTGACAGTGCCTTGTGTACACTAGTTAGCTGAAGAATATTAAGAGAGACAGGTTTAACCCTTCTGTGGTGTTCATATTTTTGTTACTCGTGGGTCTGGTGAACCCGCTGCCTTTTTGGGCTACAATTCAACACAATCAAACTATTTTATGTTCAAATACTCAACAGATGTTTACTTCATCTCAATTACAAGCAATATAAACAGGATATATGGTTAATATTTGTTAGATCACATTAATGGATTAAAGTGCTACTGCCCGCTGACCGGCTGGTCTTGTGGCTCGTCTAGCTGATGCTCAATCTCATCCTCTTCTTCAAAGTCACTGTCAGACTCAGAATTCTCAGAAATGTGATCCTCACATTCTGAAACCTTTTCCTCTTCCTCTACATCATCATCAAATGCTTCTCTCTCTTCCAAAATAATTTGTGGCCCTCCGAGCAGAGAATCTTTTGGCCATCTTGATCAGTTGTGATAAGGACCTAAACTGGCAAAGCTTTATTTGTTGTGTCTTGCCCCAAATGTGCAGCTTGGATAGAGTGTGAAAAAAATAAAGATTGGTTCCCGCAAGACATAATGCGGGAATGTGAGAGCAGACAGGTGTCGGTGCTTTGCTTTATCAACAATGTTGCAACCTAGTGCGGGAATGGCAGGGGCAGAAACACAAAAGTCTCACACCCACGCACGCACGCACGCACGCACGCACGCACACACACACACACACACACACACACAGAAGGCCCAGACAGGTGCACAGGACCTACAATTTCCTCACTTTTGTTTCGAACATCCTGTATGTAATGTAAATGTGTAGGGGGGGTGTACAGTGGGTGGTCATTGAAAATGTGTTCTGATATATGTTCTTCACAGAAAATAAACCAAGGCCATTGAGTGTGAGTTTGAAAAAAGTAATTGATGATATAATTTTTCTTTAGACAAATAATGAAAATGGGTCCCACAGACCCGAACACCATACAGTACAAGGGTTAAGGCTGGTGATACCTTTGAGGGCTAGGAACGGAAAGGGAATGATACAAGATCAACTTCAAGGTCTCGTCTAAAAATTATATAATACTCATTTTATCTCATGTCTTGTCAGAGCCTTGCCAATCAAATGCCATCACAGCGTGGTGGCATCATGTCCCCTGGGTTTTCTGTTGACAAAGATTCCATGTTTCTGGTCGTGGCATCGTTCATTCACGGCATTAATGACCCAGTTCTTCTTTGATTTTTTCCAATTAAACTTCTGTTGTATACTGCCTAAAAACAATCTCATCACTTCCTGTGTGCCAGTTTATGTCTCCCTGCAAAAAGTTATCCAAGGATAAATGGCTTTGTTACTTTCAGCCTGGCAAACAAGATGTACACCCATTTCGCTAGCCAAAAATACCAATAGGGACGGCTGAGTCCAGTCTTGGCAATGAATCTTCATTTTAATATGTTCTGCTTCAGCCATGGCTACTAGGCAGTACTTTATCTGAGTTATAAAAAGTTTAGATTTCAGCAAGTGCGGGTCCAAGAGATATAGTGCGTTTCCTTAATTGAAATGAACCAAAAAACTACAAACGGATGCATTCAGTCACTTGTCTCATGACATGTGACAGCTAATACTACTGTGTTGTCTCTCGCAACCATTTTTGATCTAAAAGCTGTGCTACATACATACAGCAAAAAGAAATAGCAAAATACTGTGACTTTATTCTCATGATATTATGACCTTTTAAACAAATATTATGCCTTCTATTTTTTTTAAATAAGAGAACATAAGCGAACATCTTGCTGATATACATGAGCTTTTAAAGTGCCGTGGTTTATCAATAATAACATTGATCAATGCATCCTGACTGAGAATGTTTGCAAGTTCCCCATATAAAGAGATATCTTCCCCAAACAAAGACACAAAAGGAATTTACTCAAAATTGGTGCATCAAAAATAATCGTTTGATTTATTTCATTTGTGTTTCCTTAAAGAGGTGCACTTTAGCAAGTTCCTATCACCTGTGTTGACAGGGCAATACAGTATTGAACGTAATGTTCTTAGCAACATAATAGGAGGTGAGTGAATGTTATAAATACGAAACAAAGGTGCTTTACTGTTCCCTCTTCTCTCTCCTTTAGTTTACGACACACAGCTACAAACGCTCTGCAATGGGAAGGAGATATAATTGTGTCTTATTTATATAGACACGTTCATAGATTTTTTTACAAGTGCTTAGCTGTCTTTCTCCAAAGCAATGTTTGCTAAACGTATTATATCTTCTTAAAACATATCGTATCCTTCACGACATTATGCATTAAGGGCAAGTTAAAACAGATAGTAAATCAATAAGGACTCCTTTTGTTTTTTACTTATATCTGGCTTCAATTCACTTTACGCAGCTCAGATTTCCCCCATTTTGGGATTGGAGCCAGTACGTTCTGTGCCCTGAGACCTGGAGCTTTAACCTTCAGTCTGTTGCTGCTCTGTCTTATTTCACACACAAGTTGACATATTATCCAACATCAAGTGTTTGACAATGGAAAAAACAATAATACTTTTCCACATCGGTTTGTTTGTGCTTTCTGGTGTGACAGTGAAAACTTCCTTCCAATCTTACCGTCAGTAATTGGTTCTCTTGTCAAAAAAAGGTTAAAATGTATTTCATAGCTGACAACAGCACCTGTCGTCCCATCTGATGCTTCCCTGTCTCTCTTGTGTCTCTTACTACCCCCTTCATCTCCCCATCCCTCATTCTTTCTCTCCCTCTCAATTCCTGTACCCCTTCTGGTTTATCCCTGCTCAGTTCCTGTGTTTGAACAGTTTTTTCTTTTTTTTCTTTTTGTTTATCTGTGGCTGATTCTACCTCTCCCTCTCTCTCATTATCTATTTCCATCTCCGTTTCAGTTTCTTAACAAGCTGCTTCCTGTCTGTCTGCCACAGCTGTTGATTACCTAATTACCTTGCCTTTCACAAACACATATCAGCACACAAATACACACTTTATCCACCTCCCTTTCACACAAACAGACATATGTGCACAGGAGAAAGACAGCTAGGTCTAGAGCTATTGTTTTAAATCAATCATAAGTATTTTTTGTGGAAAAGAAGATTGAGTATTTGTGTGTGTGTGGTTCAGCACATTCACACTCAGTAATAGTACATTGGTTCCTTACAAAACGCAATTATGAAGCTAGGAAATGTAGCAAAGCCATGGCATGCTGACTGTAATTATTTATTATGATTGGGTTTGGTCAGAAGAATACATTTGTGTTTCAAAAAGTACATTTTCAAGTAGCTCTTAACTCGCTGTATCTGCAATTGCTCAAATCTGCATAATAATGTTAAGGCAAACAAAGTTATTCACCCTCTAACACAGTGCTCTTTTTTTTACCTTGTTATAAATTGTTAAAGTTCTGATCTGTCTTCAAAACCCAGAGCAGCCTCTGGGTCCCTTTCTTTATTTATTCCCTGCTCTTGTTTTATGGTTTAATTTATTTGCATGAAACTCTCTGAAGAACCAGCACCTTACCGTGGTAGAGAGGTTTGTGTGCCCTGATGAACCTGGGGGGTGTGTTGTCTGGAACCTTGTGTTCCTGGTAGGGTCTCCCATGGCAAATTGGTCTCAGGCAAGGGGCCAGACTAAGATTGGTTCACNTCTCTCTTCCCGTTACTTTTCTTTCCAGTTTCCTTGTTTTCTTTTCCCTTCCAGAGTAAATACAAAGAAATGGAGTAATAGCTTAGAAAAACACGTTATAGAGGTGTGTGAGTGTGCGTTATGTGTGTGTGCACGCGCGGTGTGTGTCTTGTGTCTGTATGTGTGTGTGTGTCGTGGTGTGTGTGTGTGTGTGTGTGTGTTGTTGTGTGTGTGTGTGGTGTGTGTGTGTTGTGTGTGTGTGTGTGTGTGGTGTGTGTGCGCCCGTGGATGGGGACTGAAAAGACTTGGTCGGAAGGTTGTCGGAGACGTAAATTTAAGAAAGAACAGAAAGTCACCGTTTCATCGTAAAAGGTTAAGTAGATGACTAATCTCGTTCCGGAAATGGAGAGGAGAGGAGAGGGAGAGTGAGGGAGGAAGGAGTGGGAGAAAGAGACAGTGTGGTGTTTGTGATTGTCTGTGCGCGTGTGTGCCACGGCAGGGTCCAGTAACCTTATTCATATGTCCGTTATTTGGAAGGAAGGAGGAGAGGAGAGCAGAGTTGAGAGCGTCGGGGAGGAGTAGAGGAGAAAGTCGGCAAAGAGGGGTGCGTCAGAGAGAGAGCAAAGAGGGAGAGGGAGGAAAGGATAAATAAAGCCCCCTCTCCGACTATAGAGACCCTCTGCCAACGGCGTATCCTTCAGCGCGTCCCGTGCCGTCAACTAGCTATCAGACTAGCGCTCCTGTTCAGTACGAAGAGAGATGAAGGTTACTGGCTGCGTGACGTGCTCGTCTGTGTTGAGGAGTCACCAGTCACATCACACTGTGGTTGACCACTCCATTGCCGGAAACAGGCGACTGCTGCCAGTTCTCTCAGTCCTCTGCAAGGCGACGAGAAAAGGACATCTACCTACCTTATTACGATGAAACGGTCACTACCTGTTGTTTGTTCGCATGTCCTAACACTTCCGACACGTCTTCGGCGCCGACTTTGAATGCATGCAGACTAACACACACACAGTAACACGCACACACACAAAACTTTAACGACGGCAGGCGACGTGCCAGTTACACCAGCACGCACTCACACTCGACTCACAGACAATACCCAGACTCAAAGCACAGATCGCGCGTGCACACACATTATTTATGACTCACTAGCCAGCGACACCACCTCATAATAATTATTGGATTAGGACTGTTATTAGCCAAGTACAACGTCGTCTCATGACCTGAGATCTACTCGTGAGGTTGAAGAAAACCAAGAGGCGACGAATGAGAGACGAAGAGAGAGTAAGATAGCGGTAACCTTGCACAAGACTATAACAAGAAGTGACTAATTACGTCGTGAAGTCAAGGAATAGTACACTGCAAGCTGTTCAGAAACAGTTATAGTATACAGCGATTTCCATTCCTTGAGAGGTTTAACTGGGTCCCTTCTGATATGTTCGCAAGGCAACCGACGCACCTGAGGACCACCGGAGGACTACGAACTGAACCCCTCGACACGACAAGCATTGACATATTTATGATCCTACTGGACGAAACATAATTAGAGACGTCGTACATGCATTAGACGCTACGGTCACTAGATGTTACCATTACGACTCACAGGACTACGTATAAATGGGACAGAAAGCGATGAACTGGATACCAATCTCTACGATCGTCGTCCGTGCGACTACCGACCGTAGAGCTCCAAAGTTCATATGCTTAACCACAAGTATGGAGTCGAGGCTCAACGACGGTCTGAGTCCGCTTCTTGTAGAGAACGGACGTACAGTGTCTTTGTTATTCTAGGTAGTGAGAAGATCCAACCACTCCTTATGCTCCTCCCCCTCTACGAGCCCTCGGATGCACGCACCTCACATAAAGGTTTTAGGAAACAATGTCTTAAAATAGTTCGACGGCAAAACAGCGAGCGTTTCGAACTGTCACACACAAGTCCGACGTAGTGGCAAATAGAAAATAACGCGTTTCGCTCAGATACGATCACACATTTTTCTCAATCAGTAAATCACAAACAGTTTACGCCACCGTCCTATGGTTTTCACATCAATCCTATCCTAGAACTTAAACCCGGCTGACCAATGTCATAAAGAACATCGTAATTTGCTAACTACAACAACTACTTAGTGGGATATCACTGAAAACGACGTCGAAGTCTCTGGAAGGCATATAACTATTGAAAAGTAGGCGAAAGTGACAAGATAGAACAAGTATGTACCCGAAGTTCCACCGCCATGCCGCACGCAAGTCTTGCAGATTACTTAGTACCGTACTCTCACAAGGTCGTAACGTAGACATGTAATCACGATTCTATGATTACTTTCGGTGTGTGTGTGTGTGTCTGTGGGTGTTGTTGTTGTTGTGTGTGTGTGTGTGTGTGTGTGTGTGTGTCGTCGCTGTGTGGTGTGCGTGTGTGTGGTGTGTGTTGTGTGTGTGTGTGTGTGTGTGTGTGGTGTGTGTGTGTGCGTGGCGGTGGTTGTGTTTAGTGTGTGGTTAGTGTGTGTCGGGTAATGTGTAGTACAGTGGGGGGTCATTGAAAATGTGTTCTGATATATGTTCTTCACAGAAAATGAGCCAAGGCCATTGAGTGTGGGTTTGAAAAAATAATTTATCATATCATTTTTCTTTAGCTAAATAATGAAAACGGGTCCCACAGACCCGAACACCATACAAGGGTTAACCTGTTAAGCCCGAGAGGACCCTAATCCGGGTCAGGCGGGTAGTTTTTTCACGAAACTGTGTCTCAGGGCTTCTTAATATTTAAAAACCTATTAATGTGTCATACCAGATTAACGGGAAGAAACTCAGCTAACTGACGATACAAACCATTTTTACCAAAACAAAACACAAGTCTCATAAGAAGCGTCTAAATGACCCCTGAGCGAAAAAATGCTAACGCACTTGGCACAGAACTCAAGGTAAAGATACTCTTATTACTTATCGCAACTGCACATACAAGATATCCGATTAAAGCTGAGACTCCACAGATTATATAGGTATTAGTATCATAACTGAGCGATCAGAACTTGCGACAGGGGAAGCAAACAGACCTCACAACACGTAGCATTACGGAGCAAACACGGGAGATCGTCTCACCTTAGCTTTTATTCTGATCAAAAGTCGTGTTCAATGGCATTAAATCGATAAAAACGCTGCTGAGGGTTAATCCATAGGTTAATTCATAGATTAATCCAATGTGTCTGTCACTTCCGGTTTTGGCTACGCGTCACTCTCACTCCTTATTTGGTAACGTTTGTGTGTATGTGGAACCTCCCCTCGATTCCATTGGCTCTAGCGGTTAAAAAGAGATGTCAATCATCAAAAATGTAAAATGATCAAATTTCCCTTGTTTTGCATCAATCTTGATACAGGGTACTTATTATATGTTATAGTTTGGATTCCTAAAGCTTTTAGTCTACCATCCCATCATTCAAGGGTGGTTTTCACTATAAGTGATTGACATCAGGACAGCAGAAGGCTTACACATCTTCCGGCGCAGACTAAAAACTCATCTCTTTCGACTCCATTTTCTTTTTTGGACGGACACTATAATTAAAAATGTTTTACTGTGTTCAATCTGAATTTACTTTAAAATAAAAACATCTATATTGATTCTGACACCTCTACATCCAACTCACAGGTTTATCATTGCTTTGAGAAAAAGATTATTAATTTATATTCATTTTTATAAATGAAGATATGGTCATTTGTTCTGGGAATGTCATGTTCGAGCCTAAGACCTGAAAAACAGGTTAAGGTAGAGTTGATCCACAGAGGACTAAGAGTCATGGCAAGTGCCATGTTGTTACATAACAGCAGCACTGCTGGCTCAGCCCGCAGGTAATCATAGTGTTGTGTTATTCACGTGCCTTCTTCTGCCGTAGCGTGTGCTCGAATATAAGAGTATGCTGCGGACATTTTCCGTATCTTGTTGATATTGTGTTATTCTGACACTGTGGATGTGGGTCTGTCTGTATGTGTGTTTCAGGAGTGGAAAGATGGCCTGGCCAGTCCTGAGGACCTGTCACCGGCTACACTACAGTCCCCCAGCTACATCACTGACTCCATGATTGGCTGCACGTCACTGCCAAACACCCAGGTCTGGCACAATCTCCCATATTATCTTTTTCACATTAAGTAGCTAAAATACGTAGTGGTTTTTGATAGGAAGCCAGATTACTTACTGTAAGTGTACCACTTTTTTATGGAATCAATTTATTAGCTATCATGAAAATCGAACTATAAGGAGAAGTCAATTGTAAATGCATTTATGGTTATTACTAAAGGTTCATTTTGGCTCACAGTTTACTGTTGACAGTAGCAGTAATATTCTCAGTGAGGAGGACCCATCCTTGTGGGGAGGTGACATCAGTACTGTTTGTCTCCTTGGCCCTGCAGCCAGATCTGGGAATGACTAACTCTACTTCTGCAGGCATAGTTAAAGTACCAAGCAAAACAAACAGGCAGAAGCGCTTCTTCACCAACCACACACACATGACCACAGATGCGAATATAACTATATATATATATAGACCCATGCATATAGACATTACACACACACATGTAAGGGAGTCTAAAAGAATACAAAGCTCTTTCTCAGAGAAGATCGATGCTCCAGAGGTCCAGTGGGCAGAGCTTGACAGCGACCTGTGTGATGCATGACTCACATTCAACACGTTACAAAAGGACATGCCTGGAGATGAATAGGATGTAGCACAACACCACAGATGGGATGAAAGATGACTCCACTTCTGTGACAAAGAACGCTGTGTGTGCACTTTTATTCCCCATCAAACACTTTGAGCCAGTAGCTGGTGGCAAAGAGGCCTCTTCAGTTCTCAGGGGTGTCAAACTCAATTTAATCGCGGGCCACATTAGCATTATGGTTGCACTCAAAGGGCCGGTTGTAACTTTAAGACGATATAAATATATAAAATAATGTATTATATTACATTATTGCCTCTGCATTGGATTATTATCGGATAGGGTAATAACTTCATAATTAACTACGTCTGAAAGCAGAAGTCTATGGCAAATAATTGCAAGTCTCTTCACTGTGAGACAATGTGCTTCTGTAAAATGGCATGTAACCGTATAATAAACATATGACATTCTTTGCAAGCTCTTGCGGGCCACATAAAATGAAGTTCGTGGGCCGGATTTGGCCCCCGGGCCTTGAGTTTGACACCCCTGAGTTAGATGATCAGAGGGTCCCGTTTTGCTTTGAAATGGAAGCATGGCAGAAACTGGGATATGCATGAATCATCAGTGCCTTAGCACTTTCAATACACAGTTAAACAATAATGATATCCGAGCTACTGAGCATTGTGATGTGTATCATGATGGTGAATTGAAACCAGAGCACTTAAATCGTCATTTTAGCCTCAACAACACATCAAAAGCCATTCATACGATTACATCAGAGGGATGAGGTCAATGCTTTGGTGTTCTTACTGCCAGTCTTTGAAGAGACAGTGAGGGGACTGTGAGGTAGAGAGAGAGGTAGAAAGATCAAATGATCAGTCATCTGAGGTGGTTTTTGTCTCTGCACCCCACCGTCAATGGCCTTGTGTCCAGTATTTTTATTTCTCTTTTCCTAACATCGTGATTCTCTAATCTCACAATCACAGAAGAACATCGTGTTTGATGAAAAATGTATTTGGTTAGTGGAAAGGACTTGGGATTGGACGTCAGATCCAAATATTTATTAAAAAGCTTTTCCTGACAAACTATTTGTACAGTCTGTCATGGATTAAAACAACAAATTACGAATGAACATTTTCTCCGTGAAATAGTGAATAGTGCTGTTATTGTTATAGTGCTCCTTCATGGCACTATAACCATACCTTAGATTTACGCTTGCATTTTATGCTTTTACATCAGCTCCATGTATAACATCACAGCCAATGCCAAAAATAAAAGTATTACATTTAAATCTTTTAATATCACTTAATACTGCTGATTTGATGCGTTGTACAATACTTAAATAGATTAACAATGTTTTAACCTAAATAAACTAAGGTAGGTTCATGACTTAAACATTCTGCTCTTAAACAAAGAAAAGAGAAAAACCTTTTGAACATTTTATTGCGTGAATCTTAAAGGTCCCATGTCATGGCCATTTCCACTGATCATAATTCCATTGTTGAGGTCTACTAGAATAGATTTATATTGTCCAATTTTCCAAAATCACTTTGGTTTCTCCTACAGCATCTCTGTAAACTACGTGTATTCACTGAATTTCACTCTCTGCCTTTAACGGCTCGTTGTAGCTCCAATAGCTCCAGCCCCCACCCTCCCTGTGAGCACAGTGTGCTCTGATTGGTCGGGACGTTGTGAATCGCGCTGAGCTCCGTGGAGGTGTGGTTTCCTTGTTTAGCGATACACAGCGATAAAACAGCCAAAATCACCCTGAGCACACACAAAGTCACAGCCGAAGTAAAAACAATAAGTGTGGCTTGATATTGAGTAAGAAAAAGTTTGATAAACGCTGTGAGAATGGGTCTGCAGAGAGAATTTCGCCGCGATCCCAACTGTCTGTTATCAGCCTGCAGCCAGGGAGGAGTGATCAGCAGAGCTGCATGCACTGAGTGTGTGTGTGAGGAAGTCCGTGGATTGGTCAATTTGGACCAATCAGCGGGAGCTTAACGTAGTGGCTCCGCGGACGTGACGTAACGGCTCCACGGATTGGTCCATTTGGTTCCGGGTAACGCATGACATCATGCGGTACCCGGAAGAATCAATGGACAGTGACGTATCTCCAACGACGCGTTTTGCTGTACTTTGAGGGTTTTGACTCTGCAGACCGTTTACATGCATAAAAACCTTCATAACACACAAGGGGACGGGTAATAACCGGAAAAGCATGACATGGGACCTTTCAGATTATTAGAAAAAGTAATTTCCCAAGCCCTGCTTGTGTTTTAGGGAATTGTTAGGGTGTTTGTTTTTCACTTTTTTAATCTCCACATAAGCATGACCTCAGCTTGTTCTAAAAACTTGCAACAGAGAGACGGAGGGAATTCTCTCACACATCTGGAAGTGATCAGGGAGCCGGGGAGACCTGTCAGCCGGGCTGCAGCACTCCGAGCAGGGCAAGACGAGATGGGGGAGCGAGGGTCTTTATGGAGCCTGTCTGTCTCTCCCTACTCCCCTGCCTCTCTACATAGCTACAGTCTGTCTCTTTCATGATTTCTCTCTCTCACACTTCACTTTGACAGATAAAAAGCTCACACCTTGTAGACGCCAACACGTTCCTAATGGAGATGGCAGGTGAACAAATTGAAACGGGCCAGACGGGAAAAGGAGAACGTTTTGTAGCTTTTCCATTTGCTTATATGTCTATCTACCCAATCTATGTGTTTATTTCTCCACGGGGCAGCCGCCTGCCAGGGGAGTCTGAGGGATTAGGTGTGTGTCTGTGGTGTGTGTGCAGGTTTGTGTATGTGTTTAAGGTGGGGAGGTTTTGCTTGACTTGGACAATAGGACGCATGGATTTAGGTGAAGACAGACGGCTGCTCCTATAAGTTTACATTGTCAGGAGAGAGTGAATAGCCAAAAAAGAACCGGCTTAGAAGCATAGCTTAAAATAGAGGGAAGATGCAATCGTTCAGACTGATGACTGTGAGTCATTGTGCCACCCAAAAAAAGGGGATAAGTGTGCTTGTAGTGTGGAGAAATAGGTTACATAAACTTGAGGGTCTTGCGTGCGTTGAGTTAGTGGTGATTTAGTCTCGGCAGGCTTTGTTGCAGCATGCACAATGACTCTATATTTGCTCCAGGACCCCCACAGGAAATGATATCAATTCCAGGAAAAAGCATGAAAAGGAGGTCATGTACATACCGCATCGACACAATCGATTACGTTACCTTGGGTCTGCCCTGCGTGTATTCCATCGACTAGTAGCTACAGAAATATAACAAAAAGAACTTGTGATGTATTTACCAATGGGTTTGAATCCTCAGGCGGAAAAACAAGAAAATAGAACTTATTATTTCACTCATAAATAAGAATTGTAATTGTCAGTAAAGGGCAGTTATTATATTCCTCTGACACCCAAACTCCATCAATAGCCTTCACAGCTTTATTTATTATTGTCTGTATCCATGCAGCTGGTTGCTCCTCAAACTCTTTTATCTTTTAATCTCTTTCTCTCCATCTATCTGTGCCCGATGTGCACAGCACAGATCATTAACGTTGACAATCTGAATCTGATCTTCTTATCATTCAATCTCTGTTCCTCGTGTCTCTCTGCTCTTTCTGGTCACCTTGGCAACCTGCATCATTATCTGTTCTCTGCCGCTCTTTATCTCCCCTTGCTTACTTTATTCCTGGCATGATACCCATTACTGCCACAGGACCTTTGACAAACACTTTTCTGTCTTTTTGTCCATCTGTCTTCAGGACACTGAGTCCACCAGTGTGTTGCCAGATGACAGCGGCTCGGTCTTGATGGACGACACCTCCAGCCAATGGTCAACCGCGGCTGACACTGAGGAGGAGAGGAGGAGTGCCTTAGAGAAAAGCACGTATGTAATTTATCCTTTTATAATATAATATCCCTCATGATAATCCTCATGGCAGCTCTATGCTTGGTGTGTTTGAAAGCTGTTTATTTTCAATATTTGTTAAATGTTATGTTACGGAGCAAAATCTGTTGCTACAAGCTAGTTAGTGGACATTAAGTTTTGATCATTTCTTGAAACTATTATTTCCTGGATTACACATACTTCAATTCAGCATGTTTGCATGGTCTGCTTAACACATGTTGGTAAGACTCATTTATTAGATTTCTCTAATTGAATGTTTACCAGTGGGACACTTTCTCCATTGTTCCTGTAACTAGTATCATATTACATTTCCAGGAAACTTCCTATAAAATGAGAATTGGCTATCAAGTCCTTATTAGCAAAACTATTAGCAAAGTGTGACACGTATAAACATTTTTAACAAACTGTTTGAAGTGGACTCAACCACTAATTCTGCATAATTTGTATCTCAACAGGTATGTACTGCAAGAGCTTATTGAGACAGAAAAGCACTATGTGGTGGACCTGGGACTCATAGTGGAGGTAAATCTGCAGTCTGACTGCCAGCGTGAAACACAAAATCTGCCCTGACAGAGAAGAGGAAACTGAGTCATCCACCTAGCCTGTCAGAGTCCAAACCCAAAATCCCTATCACCTTAATGACTTTCTTTCCACATTTCCGTCTGCCTCCATCCTGCTGACTCCAGTTTGAAGCAGATTTTGTGAATTATTAGCTTGAAGAGTATTATGTTGCAAGACGATCCATCTCCCGGGTGCCTTAAATAGCTGGAGATATTTTGGTTCAGAGAATACTTCTTGCACTCTAAAACTTTCATAGAAACTCAATAATAGCTGTCGTGAGATTGCTTCAGTGTGTTTATAACAATCTAACTAGATTGTGCCAGGTGTTGTGTGTGTGACAGATCTGTCTTTTACTTGCAGGGCTACATGGGAACAATGCAATCCAAAGGTATTCCGGAGGACATGAAGGGAAAAGACAAAATAGTTTTTGGGAACATTCACCAAATATTTGACTGGCATAAAGAGTAAGTCCCTGAGTTTTTTTAATACATTTGAAGTGGAAAATGATATGGTTGCTCCAGTTCCAATCAAAACAAAAGACAGTGATTTGCACAGCATTATGTTTGTGGCTGAATGGAGGACAAAGGAACAATAGGTCAGGAGACAAATCTGACCTTTCCTTTTGGGGATGCTCGTGTGTGTGTGTGTGTGTGTGTGTGTGTGTTTTCTCTCTCTCTAGCTACTTCCTGGGAGAGCTGGAGAAGTGTATAGCGGAGCCAGAGAGGCTGGCCCAGCTCTTCATTAAACACGTGAGTTCTAATATGGACTACACACACACACACACACACACACACACACACACACACAC